TGGAAGGCAGTTGTAGTACCGAGCCTTTTTCCCCTTACAGGTGAGAACTCCTGAACTGCACTGAACTATTTTCCTTTTTTCAACTAAATATAAATCACCATTAGAACACCACAGAGTGCCAATCATAACAATTTCACTGGGCTCCCATAAACATGATGGGCTGTCTGCTTCACAAACATTAGTACAACCAACAGTCTGTCATTCCTTCTGAGGCTTCTTCATTCTCAGCAGGATTATCTTCTCAGAAGCCTAACAGGGATCAGTCACCAGACCCTTGTCCACCCTTACCCATCTCAAGTCAAAAGTCATATTGAAAGGACTGTGCTAATGTTGACACTTTCAGGGCTTCATGTCAAGACCCAATCTTTTTCCCTGGGGAAAACAACACATCATGGGATAATATGCCCAATTATGGATTTCAACCTTGGATGTACTGGGACCCCTAGTTTCAGCCTTCTAAACTACCTAGCCATTTTCAGCTCCTATCAAAGATTCTATTCAGACTCAAATGAACTATCAGTACATATCACATGAGATAATGGTGACTATGTTATCAGAACTTCAGCAACCTATCTCTGTGGGAGGGGATGAAGAGGTACATGAAAAACCTTCTTCACCCACAGCTATCTCCGCACCTTCCCCAGAGGAAACTTCCATACCTTCATTAGGGGATGACTTTAAAGCATATCAAGAACCTTTGAAAAGATTGGCAAACTCTGTAGAGGTTCCTCTGGAACTTGTTCAAGACATAAATTATATGACATTTTGCAACCCACCACTCAAGGCAGAACACTCCAACCTATTAATAAGGGAATTCTTGAACCTGCCAAGGAATTACAAACTACTTCAGAGAGCTGGATGGAAGTAACAAGTTCCACCTAAAGGATATGAATATTTTTATTTGCACCTACCACCATAAAATATCAGGGTTGGGAGGGACCTCAGGAGGTCATCTAGTTCAACCCCCTGCTCAAACCAGGACCAATTCCCAACTAAATCATCCCAGGCAGGGCTTTGTCAAGCCTGACCTTAAAAACCTCTAAGGAAGGAGATTCCACCACCTCCTTGGGTAAACCAATTCCAGTGCTTCACCACCTTGCTAGTGAAAAAGTTTTTCCTAATATCCAACCTAAACCTCCCCCACTGCAACTTGAGACCATTACTCCTTGTTCTGTCATCTGGTACCACTGAGGACAGTCTAGATCCATCCTCTTTGGAACCCCCTTTCAGGTAGTTGAAAGCAGCTATCAAATCCCCCTTCATTCTTCTCTTCTGCAGACTAAACAATCCCAGTTCCCTCAGCCTCTCCTCATAAGTCATGTGCTCCAGACCCCTAATCATTTTTGTTGCCCTCTGCTGGATTCTTTCCAATTTTTCCACATCCTTCTTGTAGCGTGGGGCCCAAAACTGGACATAGTACTCCAGATGAGGCCTCACCAATGTCGAATAGAGGGGAATGAGCACGTCCCTCGATCTGCTGGCAATGTCCTTACTTATACAGCCCAAAATGCTGTTAGCCTTCTTGGCAACAAGGGCACACTGCTGACTCATATCCAGCTTCTCATCCACCATAACCCCTAGGTCCTTCTCTGCAGAACTGCTGCCTAGCCATTCGGTCCCTAGTCTGTAGCAGTGCATGGGATTCTTCCATCCTAAGTGCAGGACTCTGCACTTGTCCTTGTTGAACCTCATCAGATTTCTTTTGGCCCAATCCTCTAATTTGTCTAGGTCCCTCTGTATCCTATCCCTACCCTCCAGCGTATCTACCACTCCTCCCAGTTTAGTGTCATCTGCAAACTTGCTGAGGGTGCAGTCCAGGCCATCCTCCAGATCAGGGATCGGCAACATTTGGCACGCAGCCCGCCAGGGTAATCCCTCTGGTGGGCCGGGCTGGTTTGTTTACCTGCTGCGTCTGCAGGTTCGGCTGATCATGGCTCCCCCCGGCACTGCGCCGCTTCCCGCAACCCCCATTGGTCTGGGACAGCGAACCGTGGCCAGTGGGCGCCACAATTGGCCGAACCTGCGGACGCGGCAGGTAAACAAACCAACCCGGCCCGCCAGGGTGCTTACCCCGGCGGGCCGCGGGCCAAAGGTTGCCGATCTGTGCTCCAGATCGTTAATGAAGATATTGAACAAAACCGGCCCCAGGACCGACCCTTGGGGCACTCCACTTGATACCAGCTGCTGGGAGCCCCAGGCCCTTTCGGGAAGCCGGGCCACCCGGTACGGCGCACTGGCTTACTTTCATCTCTGACCTTACCTCACAGGCCTAGCTCGCCCAAGCACATGGCCAGTCACTCCTCCACCCACTCTAGCCCCCCCGCACAAACTGCCCATGGCCCCATAGAGTTTCATGATCTGGTTAAAAGCTTCTGGCAGTCCAGATTTGGCCCGTGGTCCACCTATTGATTACCCCTCTATACGCTGACAGCAGAGGAACATTGAGACTTCTAGGTTCAATTCCAGGAGCTGAAGGGAAGGTTGCTGTAGTGATTGTAGACCCTTCTTTTCGCCCCTTCACCCCAGCCTGTCCTTGTCTCCCTCTGATCCTAGCCAACATCAACCCCCAGTCCCCACTTCCTCTGCTCCCATCCCCCTCCTGCCAGCTCCATGGCTCGTTTCCCATATTTCTATTCCTATTTCTCTCCCATACCTAGCTATTATCCCTCTCCCTCCTCCCCTTGGTTCCTATTCACTCCCTCCCCCCCCCACCCAACTGGTCCTTGTCCTCCCTCTTCTCACCCTCTGCATTCTAGTCAGGCTGCTTTTTTCCCCCCTTCTCTTTCACCCTGACCCTAGGTGCCAACAAGGGGAACATTGAGAGCACAGGAGAGAAAATGTCCCTGAGAAGAGTGGCAAAATAGGATCCCATGTCCAGATACTTTCAGCTATGGAGACTTCTGGTGTAATTTATCATTCTAGTGAGAAAACTTGTTGGGAAATGGAATTAATCATTTAACCCTTACTACATAAAGTCTCTAGTTGCCCCAGCTGACACATTCACTGCTGAGTGCTTAAGGCAGATAGATGAGGCAAGGCTTATCTACATATTTGCATAGCAGGGGTATGATGATCCTGCAGTCCTATGATAGGACAAACTTCCATTGAGTTCAGTGGAAGTTTTGCCTGTGAAAGGAAATAAGGATCATGCCTCAGCTATTTAAAAATGTATTACTGTATCCCGGCTCTGGCACTGTTTTCCCTCTGAGCTCTTGTACAAGTATCTGTCTCTGCCTCCTTCCCTACTCCCCCACATCTGTAAAATGGAGAACACCTACCTGGTGCATAGTTTCAGTTCAAGAATACATTGTAATGATTTAGCTTCAGTGATTATTTATCACCTGAAATTTGTCATGCAGAAGGTCAAGGTGGATGAGGTAATATCTTTTATTGGACCAACTTCTGTTAGTGAGAGAGGCACACTTGAATTTACATAGAGCTCTTTTTCGGGTCAGCTCAGTGTAAACTCGAAAGCTTGTCTCTCTCACCAACAGATATTACCTCACCCACCTTGTCTCTCTAATATCCTGGGAACGACATGGCTACAACAGCACTGCATACCTCACACAGCAAGCATCAGATCAGGTAGTTTGTGCCATTCTGTGGTCAATGTTGTTCCTATTCTCGGATGGCAAGTGGAGCCAGAACAGGATTTGATCACTAAAGAGAGAAGATAAAGTTGGAGAAAGAGACTGAAGAGAAAAGATATGAAAGAAAGAAAGAGGTGGAAATGCAAGGGACTCATGAAAGAAGAAAAAGTTTTGCAGTGCTAAGTATATTGTCTGAGTCCTTTGCAAGATGCACTTCTCCATAGACTACAAGAATTGTGCACTTGAGGTGAACAGATAGTAAGAGTGAAAAGTTATACCTTTGAAGGAAGGTTGTGCTACTTACATTTGAAACGTTCCCAGGTATGGGTAATAAGAAGCAAAGCCTCCTGAGAAAGCCATCTTGTCATTTGGACATCATGGCCAATTAATCTTTCTCTGAATGTTTACGGCTTACAGAGATTTGAGGGAGGTCTGAAATCCTTTTAATCAGAAGTTATAAAGCTGAGTCACATAAGTAAATGATATCAAGGAGCTTCTGGTAAGGGACCAGGGCCAAAACAAAGGGGTTTATTAGTCAGCAGGCCAACAAAGCTTGCGAGATTGCATCATACTTTGTAAATTACATATTGTTGGCAGAGAAAATGTTCTAAACCTGTGGGAGACCCAACTTCCAGCATAAAGTTACAAACTTCTAGTACTACTCTGATGCAGTCATGCACACTTCCCAGTAAAAGTGCAGTCATATTACCACAAACTTTGTTCTTCCTCACCTCATCCCTTCCCTAGTTTGTTACCCTGACTCATTGCTTCAAATTTATAATTAGATTGTCAGCACTTGGGAGCACAGACTGTGCCTTCTATTTAATCTGTGAAATCTGTATACAATTTTGGGTACTGTAAGCCCTGTCAAAAGTAAACAAATATAAAACAAGAATGGATTCCAACCAAGAATGATGACCTGGGCCTATTTGTACAAAATATCACTAAAGTTCCAAAAAATTCAACACCTTCCCAGTGACAGGTCTGCTTGACCTTTCAGCTAAGCATCCAATTAGTATCCGTTCATTGATTGGGTATCACACATACAGGGGCACTGTTAGGGGGCCAGAGCTGCGTTTGGGAGAGAGGGATGAGAACTGGAGATCTGGAACAGACAATCTACTAGATCGCTGCCGCCACGCAGCGCATGCCCAAACCCCGCTGGGTGCGCTAGGCTGTGTTTACTGAGGGTTTGACGTCCTGGGAAAATGGGCCCCCCACCCTGCAGCCCACAGCTTGGTCCATTTGCCTGTGTTTTATCACCTACCAGCACCACCCTCCTCTCTTGCCATAGCAACTGCAAAGGCGCCTGCAGACCCGCCCCTGCTGCGGCAGCTGCCGGGCTGGGCGCGGTGTTTGCAGTGCGGCCCGGGCGGGGGAGGGCAGCTGGGCAGGGCTGACGCTCAGCTCACGTATCCCATGATGCTGCCGCGTGCCGCCGCCAGGTTTTCCAGCCAGCACAGCAGCCGCCGCAGCCCCTGCCTCGCCGTGCCAAGGCTGGGCTAGAGGATCCGGGCGTTGCGTGCTCTCCAGCCAGCGGGGAGCCGAGCGGACTCGCCATGACGGCGTCCATGAGGCAGCGGTTTGATAAGTTTCTCCACGAGAAGAACTGCATGACCAGCCTGCTGGAGAAAATCGAGACCAAGACGGGGGTGAACCGCTCCTACATCGCCATCGGTGAGTGAATGCCCCGCTCCCCGCCGCCGCCCGGGCTGGGGCTGGCCGCTGCTGGCCCCCGGGCACGCCCGGCCTGCGGGCAGGAGCTGGGGTCAGTGCCCGTGAGCCCGGGCAGCGGCTCTGCCGGGGAGTGGCCTCCCGGGTCCCTGCTCTGGGTTATGTAACCGGGCTTTGGCGAGGAGGAGGAGGAGGAGGAGGCGTGGGGAAGCCCGGCCGACCAGAGGGGCAATGGAGGAGGAGGAGGTACTGTATGTCTGGGATTGGGTGTCTGCGGCAGCTGAGACAGAGGAGCGACAGCAGCAATGTTGTGCTCTCCGGTTACGCCAGCCCAGCTCCCCCCTCCCCCTTATTGCTTCCCTGGCCCTGCCTTCTCCTTGGGGCGATTTCTGCTGCATGGAAGCTCCTGGGCCGGATTTTCCATTTCCCCCCCCTCCCCCCCCCCCCCCCCCCCCCCAAAAAAAAAGGCCGCACCGAGAGAAACCCCTTCTCCAGGGATAAACCCTTCCTGGGCGATGGCATCTGGCCCAGCGCATTTGCATGGAACGGGGAGGAGGGGAACGGGCGAGTTACTCCCAGGAGGTGGAAATTGACTAGCCAGCGCGGCGGACGTGTCTGCGCCTGGACACTCTGCTTCCCGCCCCGATCCGGCATGATGTACCCCTTTAGTGTCACAGGTTAGGAGCTGCTCCCCGGGCTGGCTTGTCGGGGGCGGGCAATAGGCGACTGGGGCTCCATGCGGCAGCGGGGAGCGAGTGGCTGACTCGATAGCTTGATGTCTTTCCCACCGGTCCAGAGCCATTAAGAAAACGCCCCGTCTATATATAACCGGTTGCTTCCCCTGTCTAATGCTCTATCTGCTTTCTCCCTGGGTAGCTATCATTGGCGTGCTGGCCGTGTACCTGGTGATCGGCTATGGAGCATCTCTACTGTGCAACCTGATCGGATTCGCTTATCCTGCCTACATCTCGTAAGTGCCTCAAACGCACCCTCCTGCACAGTGCTATCCCGGAAACAAGCCATCTAAAAGGGGAAGAGGGGAGGGAGCACCTCTCTAGAGAGAGCACTATTCCAATGCTGGATTTTCTCTGTGGGGATAATTTTTTAGGTGATGTTTGTAGCATTTCAAGTTTATGGTGATTTTATCCTGTTCATTATTTTCTCCTCTTGCATTCAAATTGTCCGAGTTTGAGACAGTCTGGTGGATGAATGTGCTAGTGAAATGTGCAGATGGTGAAACTTCCCGAGGGCCTTATGTTCACAGCTTGCGAAAACGTTGCCTGTGGCTTTTTAAAAAGACAATGTCTCTATGGATTTCTGACTATGCGAATAGGGTTCCTTGCTACAAGGTGAAACGTTAGTCATTGGGTGCTTATTTCTGTAGGATTGTGTTAAGGCTGGCCCTTGGTATAGATTATAGCTGTTATAGATTATGACTTTCAAGTTTTAATTTGTCTTAAATTAAAGACTTGCCACTTTGGAATCATGGTGGGCAGATGTTGTTGTTGCAAAACAACTGAACAATGTTGAGTAAGACCGATGAGTACTGCAAAGTTGAGACTCTGCCCAGAAAGCTAATAAAGAGTTGGAATTTCAGAAACATACGTCAGATCAAATATCAGTTGGATGGGGAGGCAGTGCCTGTGACTTTAAAAAAAAATATTTCCATGGCTTTTGCACTTTCTATCATGAATGTTAGCTAGCTTATTTTATTATTTTGAAACTTTGTATTAATGCAAAGTTACAATAAAACATTAACATACTACATCATACATTACTTATTCAGGATCAGCATAATATTCAAATAACTTGGCTAAAGATTCTAGCTTGCTGGCTAGGAGGCTTTCCTCCTTTGAGTATGCTAGAAAGGGTGGCCAAACTTCTAAATACCTATCCTCTTTTTGGTGCTTCTCTTGTGTACATATTTGTTGTGTGAACTTTTCCATTACAAGTTCCATAGGAGGAAGTGGTCACATTTTCCAATTTTAGTGGATATTTTTTAAAGACTTTTTTTTTTAAATTACCTTTGCAAAATCACAGTCCTCTAGCTTACACTCTTTATAGTGCCTGTGGCATCGAAGTGCCATACTTCTGAATTTTATCACTCCTTTGAAGATTTTTAGTTTATGCTAGTATGTGTAGTTGGTAATGGGAAAACTCACTTGAGTTTTACATGGTTAAAGTGGAAACATGAAAATCTGTCATTTCCCCCTAATACCCTACCAAGAGTGGTTTTTTTTTTTTTTTTTTCTTCTTCTTTTTTTCCTGCATGTGCTAGATGGTAAGGTATTATGTTAGGCAATCTTAATGCTTAAAAAGCTGTTCTTATTATGTTCCAGCTTTTGGTTTTGAAGTGTGATGTCTTAATGAAAGGCTGAATCATATGTTGCATTTGCTTCTAGTGATGAGAGAAATCCAATATTGTAACAATAGTAATTATTTCTAAGACTGATATGGATATTTTAGTTTAGAGTACACTTTGAGATATTCACTAGGGCAGTGATCTAGTGTAAGCATATAACCTAGGCTGTGATAAAAACGAACAGCATTGTATAAAGGATCTGAGAATAGATCCATATTTAAGGAGGCCTCCTTGCTCCAAAATGACTTTGCTGTTCAAGAGGCTAGAAGTAACATGTAGGAGCAGCATTTGACAGTAAATGAGAGAGAGGATTAAAAATATTTTTAAAAATCCACAAGACAATATGGGGAAGCAGTCTGAACTTGTTCTGTAGCAAGGGCAGTCAATCTGGTACCTTTCACAAGCACTACATTAACTTTAAAAATGGAAAAAATAAAACCTATTTTCGGTTAGGACAGAATACAATATTGTAAAAGGTCTTGGAAATGTATTCAAAAACTTCTATTTAACTAAATCTGTTCATAAAATGGAACTTTTTCTAACTGTACTAATGCTTTCAAAATCTGATGTTTGCCTTTCACACAATAGTGCTTTTGTTTTAAATATAGTCAGCAGCATTTGTAAGCACACGATCCATGGCCAGCATATGGCCAGCCCCTTTCTAGTTTGCAAGAGAAAATGCAAACTATATTGCAATGTTTGTTCTTCCTCTTGATTATTCTGACATCTTGAAGGTTGGCTCAGCTTCAGGCTGTGACTGGTTTAATGCTACCTTCTTGAAACAACTTATGATCATTATGCTTATGGAAAAGTCTAACAGTATTAAAAATTAGATAAGTTCATAGGTCCATCAATGGCTATTAAGCCAAGATGGTCAGGGACACAACCCCATGCTCTGGGTGTCCCTAAACCTCTGAGGGTACAACTACGCTGAACAGGTGGCCCATGCCCGCTGACTTGAGCTTGTAAGGCTTGGGCTAAGGGGCTCTTTGGACTCTGAGCTCTGGGCCCTCCCACCTCGCAGGGTCCTAGACCCGTGGCTCCAGTCCAAACCCAAACACCTACAACTCAATTAAACATCCCTTTAGCCCAGGGGTTCTCAAACCGGGGGTTGGGACCCCTCAGGTGGTCGCGAGCTGTCCGCCTCCACCCCAAACACCACTTTGCCTCCAGCATTTGTAATGGTGTTAAATACATAGTGTTTTTAATTAATAAGGTGGGGGGGGTGTTATCTTTATTTTTCTCTTGTTGGTCTCTGTTCATAAAAAATATCCACGTGGCAGCTGTGATTATGGAACATTTTCTATGGCTAGTTGCATCACACTGTATACTTCAACATCAAGTAATTATATAACATGTGGACAGGGTTTGTTTTTTATTGGCTTTTTTTTAACAGCACCCGTCACAGTACAGTAACTCCTCACTTAACGTCCTCCCGCTTAATGTTGTTTCGAAGTTATATCGCTGCTCCATTAGGGAACATACTCATTTAAAGTTGTGCAATGCTCCCTTATAACGTCGTTTGGCTGACTTTTCAAGGGAGCATGCACAAGTTTCTCCTCGCCGCCGCCGCCTCCCTCCCAGTGCTTCCCCGCCGCCAAACAGGCGCTTAGGACTTTCTGGGAGGGAGGGAGCAAGCGAGTGGGCAACCTCCCCTCCCCCCCCCCCGGGGGCAGGCAGGGCCACCCGGAACGCAGGGGCTGCAAGGCCCTGGGCTAAGGGGGCCTCGGGGCCCTGGCCTGCAGCTCCAAAGCCCCTTTCGGAATGCGGCCCTGCGAGCACGGGCCGGGGGACTCAGGAGGAGCTGGGGCAGCGGCTGGAAAGAAGTGGCACTTTCCCCTTCAAAGCCGGCCGGAGAAAAGTGGCGCTTTGAAGGGGAAAGCGCCGCTTCTCTCCAGCCGCTGGCTGCGCAGCTGCCCCTGCTCCTCCTGAGTCCTCCGGCTCATGCTCGCAGGTCCACATTCCAAAAGGGGCTTTAGAGCTGCAGGCCAGGGCCCTGGGGCCCCCTTAGTCCAGGGCCCTGCAGCCCTTAAAGCCCCTGCATTCCGGGTGGCCGTGCCTGCCGGGGCAGCTCCCAGAATCGCGGCCATGGGGGCGGTGCCACGCTATGCAGAGCCACCTGCATACCCCCTGCACCAAACAGGAACTGCCCCAGGTAAGTGCTCTGCACTTCCTGCCTGCCCCAGCCCTGAGCCTCCTCCCGCACCCCCACCCTGAGCGTCCTCCTGCACCCTAACTCCCTCCCAGACCCTGCACCCCCAGCCCTGAGCCCCAGGGGTAAGCCGGGGCACCTCCCCACCATAGTACAGTAGTGTACAGTATATAATGCCTTTTGTCTGCCTCCAAAAAATTTTCTTGGAACCTAACCCCCTGCATTTACATTAAATCTTATGGGAAAATTGGCTTCGTTTAACATCGTTTCACTTAAAGTTGCATTTTTCAGGAACATAACTACAACGTTAAGTGAGGAGTTAGATTCTACTGTAAGTATTTGCATGTATCTTTTGGTATGTAAATATTCTGATATGAGTGCTTGGAGAATGACTACATGTTAGCATCCAAAAACTGATGCTGAGCTTTGTTCAGTGAATCATCAGAAAGACCTCTTTTTCACATTCTTGCAGAGGCAAAATGGTGGCAAATCAGATATGGTCAGTGGCTTTGGATTTAACGATTTGTTTCCTTCCTTTCTGAATTTAGTTAACTTTTTTCCCCTACTTTGTTTTCTTCTATGTAAAGTGAACACAAATGTCTGTGAGGGGTGGGAGGAGTACACAAATTCCCATTTCATGTCGGGTAAGGTCGTCTCTTGGGAGAGGCAGATGCTTTGAAAAGTATCTTATGGCTAACCTGTCCACCATCTTGTGTTGTAAGTAAACTTTGAATTGAAAAGTGCTGTGTGTGTACACAGACATAATTGATTGGGGCTACATGCCAAAGCTTAATGTTTTAAAAATTAACTATCCATGAATGTATATATTGCAATATGATACTTACCCAGTTCACATTTTCACTTTAGGTTCTTTTTAATATTTATTTATTTATTAAAAGATGTTCTGGGGAAAATACTCCATAATATTAGGCTAAATACAGGGAAAAACCTACATTGTTGTGTGTTACAAATACATTTTAACGTATATGCCTTTTAAGTTAGATATTATTGTTTCATGTTGAATAAGTACTTAAAATTCCATACTACAGGGTCTTTTCACTCATCAAAACTTGCCGTAAGGATAAACTGCTCCTTCTTACTAATTTAACGATGCTATCTGATTAATTTTAGTGCATAACTTAGTGGATCTTCTTGAGAGCTATGCACATATTTGAGTGTGCTGAATTGTATAACAATATTAGTGAAATCTGCCTTAAAGGTCTTGGATAGGAAAGTCCTGTTCACTAATAACATGCTCTTGGGACACTTGCTGTAGGTAAAACTGAAAGCTGTGGCTCATGTTGGAGGTGGGAGAATAAAGTGAGCTAAATTCAGCATATTGTCACAGGGTCTTAATGTGACTGTTACCAAAGCAGTTAGCTGCATCGTTATTAAAATGATTCAGATCTCAGAAGGTGGTGGATGCGGGGGGGGGAACAGAATTTTCCCAGTAATT